AGAGACAGTTTTTGGACTGAAAATAGTACTACGAACATGTCACCACTCTAAATGAGTGGTGAAAGGGGTTGGTAGGCCTGATGTGGCCCTATATTAGCCCCTCTTTACTTCTGAAACTTTGACTTAAATAATGATTTATAGATTCAGCTTCAACACATGCTTCAACTGTACTGGCGGGGAGAGCGTTCCAAGCATTACTGTAACAACTTTGAGTAAAAAAGTGCTTACGGCAATTTAGACGAGCATATTTCTTGTTCAATTTATACCTATAAATCTTGTTCAATTTATACCTATGGAGAAAGTGGAGACGCCACTCATATCTACTGTGCCCATCTTTTGAGTTCGGAGAAAGCAGACCGAATAAACTAATTAATTAATTAATAAGATGAACATAAAGAAAAGACTTCGAAAGAGTTGTTCATTTTGAAAAATGTTAAAAGCAACGCCTAATAGTAATAAACAAGCTATTTACATATCCGTTATAGAAATATTGGTTATATTTAATAATAAATAGGTCTAATTTTTTCTGTTCTTTTTACTGGAATTTTCATTATTTTGAAGTACGTGCATATAGTATACCGTACCGCTTTGTCATAAAATATACTAAAACCCTTTAAAATGTCATTATTAAAAGCTTTTTAACCTTTTCTTTTTATCACTCATTTTATTCCGAGACAATTAATAATTCACCTTTTCCAGAATTTCGGTCAAATAACAGATCAATCAGAAACAGGGCCAGCAAATTACGGGCTTGTACGAAGCACGTGTTCCTACAAACGCACGTGTTTTACGCACGTTTACGCGTGCTGTTGGTTAGAGCACCTTAGCAACAATATCTAAGGGGCGGGGCTTAGCCTAAGCAGTAATAAAGCTAGCAATCAATTCGCCTTCTGCATTGTCGTAGATTGGCCTAAGGTTCATTATTAGATATATAAATATAAATATAGAATTTAATGTCTGTAGTTAGCATGACCTTATGAGGGCGGTATATAGAAAATCGGTTTCGCGATCATGGCTCAAAAATTAGTGAAGCGTGCAAAGTCTGACCAATCAAATGAGGATAGAGCTTACAAAAATTAACAAAGCGATATAGATCTTAAATTTCAATCCTTTCGCAACGGAGCTAGCAGCGCGCCGTGATCGTATAGTGGTTAGTACATTGCGTTGTGGCCGCAATAACCCAGGTTCGAATCCTGGTCACGGCATTGAATAAAACAATGTCACGGCATAGCTCCAAGTTTTTTTTCTTTTCTTTAGTCTACCGTAGTTCCAATTATTGTATGTCTTTTATTCACATTCTGCTATTGTGAATTATCTTACCTTTGCTTTTTTTTGTGTGTTTACTTAAAATTTATACCGTAGGCCTATCTGTACGTACAAGTTACTATCAAGTCTTATATAGGAGAAAGATGAGCAAGTAACTTATCACCTAACAAATTAGAATAACATAGACCTATAGTAACCTTCAACAAATTGGGAGATATATTTTTTAATAATGTACAGAGTTTCTATCCAATAGTCAATTAAAAGAGATCTGTGCAATGACTATGGAATGACCTTAATTTCAGATTTCGCCCCTCCCTCTCAAATCGGAAAAAAGTTTCAAATTTTTAAGATAGTCGAGAATATAACTTAATATAAATTTGTTATGTTCTGTAATGAAGAATGTTTGTTTGTTTTGAAGATAAAAGGAGAGTCTGAAAATCGTTATATTTTAACCTTTTATAGCAATCTACATTAGGAGTTGCCGTATTGAACCCACCGGCTCTCCCACAAACTTGTTAGTAATTGCACAACCCCGCACCCCTACCCCTTCATAGGTCTACTAATTGGAATCCTGGATAAGGTCTTGCCACCATTGCTTTTTCAGTATTTTTCTTTTAATGCATACCATGATATATAATGATATTATATTTATAAACCTGCTCATTTTGAAACCCCATTTATTTAAAAATATTCATCTCATCCTTATTCAAGAGTTTTCATGGTCAGTCGACTTTTTCTTGGATAATCGGTCATCTCCATTCCGTAATTTACTTTTGGTTTTTATTTTAGGTGCGCCATATATAGTCTAGACAAGAAGGTGCTACTGTTATCATTTTTATTCATGCTACTGACTAAGCCTCCAGGTTCAGTCAATTTTAGACAATGGTTATCTCAGAATAAACTTCAATTTTGTATGAATACCTTAATCTGTTATTATGAGCGTTTGATCATTAGATAGATTTCTATATGTTTTTCTCTATCTGCTATGTGCCTATGATTGTTAGATTTCTATGGGGCTTTTTTTCTTTCTCTTCACTGTCTTCTCGATTGCTTGGATGAGTTTTAAGTCGTGTTTTTTATACTGAGTCAGACATGTTTTGTTTCGTCCGATTGAAAAAGTGGCGAAAAAATGATAGCCTATAAATTAGGTGCATATAAAATGTTGTATAACCGTTAACTTTTCGATTACACAGTTCCCAGATGATAAACCAATGTTGTTTAAAATGCAAAAATGCAATTCTTTCTTATTTTCATTGTTATCAATCAACTAAAACACTGTTGTCAAATATTCTGTTCTCTATTTTGTAAAATACTATTTTGGTGTATGATTGGTAAGCATGGCTAAACTTGTACATCTCGCCGACTGGCTGTTGGAACAGTCACGCCCTCTATAAATAGAAAGGAAAGAGAGAGAATAAATCCAGGGCGCGCGACGCAGCTGCAGAGAGATCCATCAATATATCCAGGATTCTCCATTTGACCAAAGACTTTGGCAAAGTTGATTCTAGCATCGATCATAACAAATACAATAACAATGTCAGTAGGAAGGTTCATGCCTTTGACGTTGTTTAGGCAGAGGCCTAGGTCTTTACACGACCTTTCTTTAACCGTGCGACAAGAAATAATCCGACGATATTGCAGCTCTAGGCCTACAGGAGAGAGAAAGATTCGAATAGGATGTGCATCTGGCTTTTGGGGTGATACAGCAACATCAGGTTAGCCCTGCCTAGGCCTAGTAGTAGAAGTAGTAGTAGTAGTAGGGGGAAGCTAGGGCCTAGGCCTAAACTATTTGGCTAGCCCGGGCCTATCACTGCAGGCGCGTTCAGTCTGTTTAGCCTTGTACTAAATGTTAAAGCTGCGTTGTCCTCTCTCTCTTATGCACAGTGACAGTGGCTGTTCTGTTCGGCAAAATATGAGATAGGCCTAGGCTAAGCCTAGGCTCTAGGCCTATTATTATATATAGCAACAGACAATTTTAGCCTCTCTAGGCCTAGACAAGCCATTCTCAATAAATCTGGTTTTACTTCAGATTGTGCCAAATAAAATATATATTTTTTTTAACATTTTGAACTGAATACTGTACGGCTTAGTGCTATTTTTTTTTTATTTTTTTTTTTCAGCTCCACAGTTGATTCACAATGGGAACATTGACTTCCTTGTATTTGACTACTTGTCCGAAATAACAATGTCACTTATGACTGCTGCTAAACATAAATCTCCGGTAAGTTCATCCATTAAATTTGAGATGTAAATATATTCTCATTATTTTAGAAACAGGTTCATAAAAAAGTAAAAAACACAAAATCAAAATCTATACTGCGGTAGTAGCACTGAGCAGACTTTGTAAGCAAGACATCCATTTCACTTTCATTGATATTTTTTTTTAAATCATTCACTAATGTGTTTCCACAACTCATTGTCAGCATAATAATGTACCATGTCAATTTTCAAAGAAATTGCCCGAAACGCTATCAAAATTTTGAAGCAAACCTCTCATCACTGTGGCATTTATTTAAAAGTTGAACTTATGCAAAAAAATACTGTTTAGCCATACTGTCAAGTATTTCAATTGCACATATGATTACCTTAAGCTCAAATTTGCACAGAAATCACTAGGAAAAATAGGTTTGCAGAATTGTAACTACTGCATAATACATTGGTTATATATTAAGATTAGGTCAAAGCCTAATTTTCAGCAAAATCTGCTTGGGAATCCGCCCTTATTTTCCGAAATGCGTGGAAGGATTCGTAGGCCTAATTTTTGAGCAGAAGATATTATTCCCAACTCAGAGCTTACTTTACAGTCTGACTGTTTAGTATACATACAAATCCAAAAATAGTACTATCATAAGAGGCACATGGGTCATTTATGGTAAGCTTCCGGTTAACTTTTTACTGTTTTGTGCCTTTGATTTTCAATGGATTAGAACTGGAGCCATATAAATTTTATATATTATTGATTTCATAATTGTTCCATTTAAGGATCTTGGTTATGCGCCAGACTTCATCCAAGCTGTGATGGCACCTCTACTTGGAGACATCAAGAAGAAAGGAATAAGAGTGATCAGTAATGCCGGTGGAATAAACCCTCACAGCTGTGCAGCAGCTTTGAAAGATGTAGCCAAGAAGTCAGGAGTAGACCTGAAGGTCGCTGTAGTAACTGGTGACAATGTCATGTCAAAGGTAACGTGTAATGGTGACATCATGGGGATGTGGCGGTCAAGGCCTCCATCAGGGAAAGGTCTTCTCCATTGCTGTAGTTCTTTACAGACTATAAGGCTCTAAAATTGATTAAATCCCTAAATTGTCAGAGCTTCAATGGGCCCTGCCTCCTGGACCCTCCAAGGGATTCTGAGTGGCCCTGCCTACTTATACTCCCCTGAGGGTCATTCTTGACCAATCGTGTAACATGTATTGCCCTTCATGATAGTCATGTACACAAAGAACAGAGCATTACCCTCAATCGGTAGATTAACAAACAACAAACAATTATATACAATACAAACATGAAAAAAGTAGAGTGTAAGAACTTTTATATCATACTCATCATCTTAATATTCATTTTGTTTTGTACAGAAATCTGATATCTCAGAAACGGGAGTAAGTGACATAGATTCTGGAGTACCCATACCAAAAACCCTGGTTAGCATGAATGCTTATTTAGGGTGAGTTTCCTTCTGCAACACTCCAATTGTTTAACTAAGATGATTTAATGTAGGATTTATTAGCGCAAAAAAGAAGCCAAACCAGGGTTTTCAAGGTTTGGATATTTTGGGCTTTGGAAACAGTAATCTTATTAATAAAACCTTTTATCTTCATTTTTGCCACATTGTTCTTGTATCCACACTCTGGAACTATGTACCTTTTCATTTCATCACCAGAGCAACACCAATATCAAGAGCTTTGGACCTTGGTGCCGAGGTGGTAATTACTGGACGGTGTGTGGACAGTGCAGTTGTTTTAGGACCCTTAATGCATACAGTGGGTTTCAAATTTCTATCTGGCATTTGCCTTAAAAAAATAGCCAGCATATGTGGCAAAGACAAGCCAAACCAGTCACTCGTCGGAAAAATCAATTTTTAGTTATTAATACAGGGTTTAACAGTAAAATGAGAGCTATAAAATAGTAAAAGAATCATTTAAATCCGACATTTCGTTATGAAGTTACACAAGTTCAAACATACAGCTGTTTAAAGAACAATATTTGAGAAATCAGCCTTCAAAGTTTACGATTTCAGGCATTTCTTAGGCAGAAACTATCACCAAATCGTTAAAAATTGTTGTTTTAACATTAAAAATGAGGAAAATAACAGCATAGCATGATGTATAGATATATAAAGTTTAGTTTAGTGCAATAAAATTGATTTCCAAAATTTTGAAATTCCAGCATGTTTTGGCCATTATCTCCAAAACAGGATTTGCGACGAGTGACTGGTTTGGCTTGTCTTTGCCACATATATTTCTGTTATTGGCTGTGGCACCCTCTATGTATTTAATAGGAATGATACAGTATGGAACAGCCACATAATTTTGCATTTGTGTCTGAAGCCAACAAAGTTTCAAAGTATATAAGAATATAAGAAATCAAAGATTCTGTATTATTGCTCATGAGGTAAATTCTTCCCAACAAATTTTAATGTTTGCATTGTAAAAAAAAGTAGCTTCATGTTTTTTTTTTAATATCTTAATGTTCTTTGTGTTGTAAATTCTTTTATGTATGTTCATTTGAAATGTCAACATAAATTTCCCATGTAAAGATTTAAATAAAATTTGAGAGAAAATTATATTAAGATGCTTTGTACATATTGTGAGTGATATAATTTATCATGGCATCTCTTATAGTTTGGATGGGCCCCTGATGACTATAACTTGTTGGCTCAAGGAAGCTTAGCAGGCCATTTAGTAGAATGTGGAGCACAGGCTACAGGAGGAATATTCACCGATTGGCACACTGTTCCAGACTGGTATGTGTACTTTCTATGCTTTTTTTCTCTTGAATTTCATATTTTGCCCTCTCCAAAATTTATAAAGGTGTCTTTCAATGGTACGTACATTTGGCATGTTAACATCTGTAGCAGCAGTAGTGTTTAAATTTTAATATTCTACACTGGTTGTATTCCATTTTTTCTTCTTTGATGATGAAAAATGTTATCTAAAATTGAGTGAAGGGAGTGTATGTTGATTGAAAATTTCTATGTACATTAACCTTTAAAATTCTGATAATAAGTTAGTATCTCTATGTTGTATGTTTTTAAAAGATAATAAATAATGAATGATGGTATAAGTAGCACCTCATGTCGAAATTTTATTATTATTATTATTATTTATTTTTTAATAGGTTTTATATAGCACACATATTCAGAAAACAGCTCAAGATGCTTTTCCCTGGTCATTGGATACAAAATCAATCATACGCAATTTGCAACCTCCTCCGCTCTTCAGGGGGCATTCTTTATTATGTGTGTAATCTGCACTACAAAGGACCTCACTGGAAATAAGTTTTCTTCAGACTTTCGTTGGTTATCCTTGGAGTTTACACCAATTAAATCCATCCATATACTCCTGGATAAAGAGAGGCAAATGCAGATAAAGTGTCTTGCCTAAGGACACAAGCAGTGTAATAAGCATCGGTCTTGAACCCCCAACCTTCCGACTGAAAGTCCAACCCTTTCCATGCTGCTTCACAAGCTTCTAAAAATGTGCAACAACAACACAAACGAACAAGGGAAATAAATTATGAACCTAAGAGAGTGCTAACAGTTAACACTCCGACTGCCAGGGGTTTGAAAAAATAATATCAGCCATCGCCGGACTTTTTAGCAAATTTTAACACTTTTCCGAAGCTTGTTGAGAGTGCATATCTGATCAGACATGTAGTGAAAACTACAAGAACTACAAACATTTTACTTTACAATGGTACCAAACACTTTATTCTAATCACAATCTGTGACCCATAACAGTAAAATGAAAATGACTCACTTAGGAGGTTTATGCAATTTTGCACACAGAGCTGAGATAATCACGATTTTGTGAAAGTAAATCAATACCACTCTACACTAATGTAAACAAACAAATAGTGAAATACTTATGGTCCAGACTGAATATAGAGTTTAAATTGTTAGTACATGTCGGTAATTACCCCATCTAGTGGATTCCGTTAAAAAACCTGAAACATGGAGATCTCTGTGTTTGGCGGTCAATCGTTGCATAACCAAACAAGGAGATCTCCGTGTTTGGCGGGCAGAGTGTTAACAACAATGTAAAACACTGCCCCATGCTCTGGCAATTTATGGAGCTACTGTATTTAAATTTTACATTCATGTTTTCTAGGGATAATATAGGATTCCCGATAGCTGAATGTTCGTCTGATGGCTCGTTCATTATCACTAAGCCACCAAAGACAGGTGGCCTGGTGTCTGTACCAGCAGTTGCTGAACAGCTTGTGTATGAGATCGGTGACCCCAAGAAGTACCTTCTCCCTGATGTTACCTGTGATTTTAGTCAAGTTAAGCTATCACAAGTGCATGGTGAAGCAGTGTCGGTGACAGGTGCTCTAGGCTCCGAGCCAACCAACCAGTACAAGGTATGTGTAGTAAAAATTAATATGGCAATGGTGAACCAATTGTACATTTTTTTTATACATTTAATTAGGATGGTGAATTTGTTTTATTCAATTTGATGGAGTTGACACATTTAATTTCTGTTATGTTTTAACACACTACCTCGATGAGTGCCACTGTTTTTATAGCACTGATTGTTTTGACTAAATTATAATTTAAATTTATTTAAGTTAAAAATGTCTTATATGTATATTGCATAAACTCTCAGTGTAAGATTTGGCTTTTAAATTATGACAAATAATACACCACATTGATGTACAGTATATATTTAAATCAGTGTATCTATATAGGTATATTTTAATCAGTTTCACCTGACTAACTGATTAAGACTAAAAGATAAAATAGTCTCCAGTATTTATTTACAGTGTATTTTTACAGGTTAGTGCTACTTACACAGATGGATACAGAGTAACAGCTGTGTGCCCAACAGCAGGAATAAATGCTGCCGAGAAGGGAAGGAGAACAGCAGAAAGTATACTGAAGAGGTATTCAGCTCAAAATAATTGCTTTCCTCCTTAGCTTTGTGTGGAAAACTCATCTGGTCGAATTTTCTACACAGAGCTGAGTAGGCATAATTTCGTACACGAATGCTAATTGGTTGGTTCGCCCATTGCAGTGCACATGGTTACTGTTTCACATACACGAACGCTTATTGGTTGGCTCGCCCAGTGCAGTGCACATGGTTTTAGTTTGTCCCAGCAGGCCCAGACAACACCACAGCTCTGTTGTTTAGAGTAGCTATGAAGGGGAATTCCCAAGTTATACCTTTGTCGTATAGGTAATCTTACAATATTTTCATGTTCGTTAGTTAAATAAAAAATATAAAGTGATGAATTAATACACTAGACACATGGTTTTATTTGAACACTTTATTATGACATCGTAAAGTGATGAATAAAAACACCGTACTAAACACTTGGTTTTATTCGTAGGCCTAGAGGCTAGGTCTAGCCTAGGTAACATTGTTTGTTCGTTCATAACATACGTTTATTGAGTGTTACAAATGTATTAGGTCAAAGGTCACCACCAATTTGCACATGCTATAGTGCATTGTTCACAAATGATGTGTTATCATTTAAAAAGTGAATCAAATGGAGTTGATCCGAGGGTTTATGTATTCCAAGATCTATTGCCATTTTTAATTGCAACTTAGGGGGTTGCAACCTACTAAATATTCCATACTGTGTTATTTCGAAGTGAAATAAACCACAGTATCACATACTAAGTGGTCACAGTAGTAGTTTATTCAGTAAAACTATAAACATTCAATCCACATCTTATCTATGAAAGGCAAGAGAGGCCAAATAAGACAACGTCACACCCCCCCCCCCCCCCCCCCCAAAAAAAAAAAAAGATGAATATCATGAACAGATTGGAAGCCACACATTGTCAGGTAGGGCAAAACGTCACTCCTGTGATATTTTCTTGACGCAATTTCACATCAGTATAACTTAGGGGGTTGCTGAGGAATATCATGTCAGTTTTTTGCAAGTGTCATACATAGTCTTTCTTATTCAAACTATTATCTACATGATTTAAATAGGAATGTTATTTACATATTAATTAGCTTGTGACAATCCAAATAACCAATCATGGTGTTTGTCTTACAGAGTCAGGAGAATGTTCAAGTTTCTTGGCTTAGAAGATTTTACGCAAACCAATGTACAGGTAGGGAAAAAAATACCTTTTCAAATAATAGATTTATTGATAGTTCAAGATATGAGACCAAAAATCTTATAAACAATCTTATAAATGTATAAATTATGTTTAAAAAAATTAAATCTTTAGGTGAATATGTACATTCATTGTTGATTTCATCATAGTTAAAAATTATACTCTATGAGAATATATCACTCCATGTTTAACATCACCTGATAGATGAATAACCTTTAACCTTTATATCACTCCATGTTTAACATCACCTGATAGATGCTTGGATCTGAAGAGTCTTATGGCCCCCATAGTAACTCTCCAAACCCCAGAGAAATAGTAATTTGGCTGGCGGTCCAACATCAACAGAAGAAAGCTTTAGAAATTTTCTCAAGAGAGATAGCACCAGCAGGAACTGGAATGTGTAAATACATATATTTTATATTTTTATTTGTTTTATTTAAATCCTACTAGAAATTATAAGTCACTGCAACTCACAATGTAATTTTTTCCTCACCGCAAAGACATCGCGCATTGCACTAGCCTAGTTATGAAATCATCGCACGATTTTACCTGTCTGCATGCACTGACCAAAAAGGATGTCAGTGATTGTATTCTCTCTCGAATGCTGAAATGTTTATTTCTTTGACGAAAGTCTATCAAAATAACATTACAAACAAGTTCTTTCTAACACAATACAAATTACAATAGTTATTCATCGTATCTGTACTGTACTGCTGATGTGTAGTTAATTAAACGCATACTGCAGGAGCAAAAATCAGCATACGCACAGCTAAATGTAAATAGGCACATATCACTATAGCAACCGATGACTGCTACAACAGTTGGTTATAAAAAACTAAAAATAAAAGACGGCGACTGACTTATAAAGCAATTAGTAGAGCATGCATCATACACTAAATGGAAAATTATTATACTTAGGTAAGATTTAATGCATTCAAAAATTTCCTTTGGCCTTGCAGGCCCTCAGGAAATTTTTTCAAGCATTAAATCTAACCTTCGTATAATAATTTTCCTATAGTGTACTATGCGGAGCTCCATTAATTGCTTATTAACGTATTTATTTTCAGTTAGTGTGATTCTGCATCTAGGAAAACAAAATCCAGTTTATTATTACTATGTATACATCTATAGAGCTCTATGCTTATACATTGTCAAAGTTCAGAGTTTATGGCAAACCTGACTTATTCTCTGATTTAAACTTTATTCAGTTAATTTGAAATTCCATTGTTAAATGAGTTGTATACTTATGCCTATATTTATTTTCTGTTTCAGGCCCTGGATTAACTGGTATTGTCGGGGGTCGACCAAGAGTGTAAGTTATAACTTATTCGTTGGGCATTCTGTTTGCTTGTGTATTTATGCTGTTGAGTTACATTGTAGTGGAATTGTAACTTGGTGGTTAAGATGTTTGTCTTCCAGTTCCAAGGTCTTTGGATCAAATCCAGTGAGTCACTATGATTTTTGTCTCATGATTAAAAAAAAAAACAACCGCATTTCCTAAGTCTCATGTAGGGCAGTGCTCTGCAAACACTTTATTTCCTGCCTACTTGAGATTCTAGGCCCCATGCCTCAGTCCTGTGTGCCAGGGACAAACATACTAAAACCTTGCAAGCTTATCTCCATGTTCTTATGATATTCAATAATTTGACATCATTATATGTTCTATTGGCTATATCAATGAAGCAGTTTTACAAAAATGAATCTTTGATTTTTAAATTTTTTTTTCTCCTGGGCAACTTCAAATGTTTTCCGGCGGCGGCTCATGGTTTGTTGACCGTCGGCTTGGAGCCTCTTTGTTTACAGATATTTCATCCAGTAATCAGTACCCTTGCTATTTGATGTAAAAGAATGTTTTATTAAATATTTAAAAATTTATTAATTGTTTTGTTTTAGTTCACCTGTACTCAGGCTCTTTTCTTTCTTATATCCCAAAGAAAATGTTACGGTAAGAAACGTCTATATTTATCGACGATAATACTATTCTTCTTTCTTTTATAAGTAGATGTATGTATTCATTTAATTATATTAATATGCATTTAGTCACTTTTGCATGTTCATATAATATTAAAGAAACACAATGAATTTAAGAACTGTGTTTGATGGAGAATATATTTCTTACATGTTTTGGTCCCTGTCTATCAATCATGAAGTTTATATACTGCCATTACGACCAGTGGTATTAATATTTTTTTAAGGTGATCAAACAGCAAGGTCTTTAGTTTTATTAGACGTTATTGACTTAGTTATAAAATCATTTTGAAATACAAATTCAATATTGTAAATTGAAGTTTGAAAATATTTTTTCCAATATTTTACCACCAACAGTATATTTTTAAAGAGAATTTTGTAATCTAGATACAGAGCTAGCTTAGTGCTAAGATGCTTGCCTTCCAAAACCCCCGGCCCTAGATTGAAATCCTGTAACAACACAGGACTTTTATAATATGACATCTCCACTCCGTATGCCTCTTAATGAGACTTAAGCCTGTTAATCACTGTGTGCGACGGCAGCGCGACGAAGAAGGCACGTGAAAAAGCGGACCCAACGCATCGTCTTTTTAATGAGGATTGCCACTGATAATCAGCAGACACCGTTGCATCGTCTATCGCTCGTCGGAAGCAAATGTTTATTCGTTGTGCGACCGTCATACGATGCAGTGAGTGTCCGGCTTTAGTTTATATCAGTTTATGTTCAAGGATATGCTGGAAGGGTCACTCTATAAGCATGTTATAAATAATATATATATATAATATAACCATGTTTTATAAAAATTGTAATTGACAGATTCATGTTGAAATGGATGATCTCAAAGAGACAGTAGAAATCAAGGAGCATGCTGCTGCACAGTCAGATAATATTTCTCAGCAAGAAGAGCCCCCAATACCTACTGGTCTTGAAACTGGCTCATGCAGTTATACTCTAGGCCAACTAGCCTATGCAAGAAGTGGGGACAAAGGGAATAGTGCAAATATAGGTAAATAACCTGGCAACCTTTAATTTCTTTCAGATGTTTTTGGAACTTTAAGTTAGTGGTTAAGGTGGTTGTCATTCAGTGTCAGTTTCCAGGGTTCAGATCCTTTGAGACACCTGGATATTTTCTAATGACGAAGACTGCCAAAGTTTCTTGAGTCCCCTCCATGAGACAGGCTCATAAAAATATAGATATACTGTATCACCCTCTATGTAAAATAAACATAGCAACCTCTATGTTATAACAGCTATGTATATAGTTTACATATGTGTGAGAAACGGTTAAATAGGCATGTGACATTAAAATCTATCCTACAGTAATGCATTAGAGTTGGTAGGAATCATAATGTAATTGGTATGTGTACCTGTTATGATTTTTACTGTGGCTACGGTCACACTAGAGTCTCAAGCCTGGCTTGACTCACCTGGATCGACTCGCGCCTGACGTGACCTCAATCTCAATCTACCTATCTCGATCCCGGCTCAGTACCCAGATTGACCCTGGATTGACCCTGGCATGACCGGGATTGACATTTCCTCGTCGGCTGTGGACCAATCACAGTCGATGACGACATTGTGTTTAGAAGTTCTTGAATAAAAAACCTGCGGCAATCATCAGTTGTCATTTATAAATGCAATTATCAATCCAAAAACTAGCATCGCCATTACATCCGAGCCTAGGCCTAGATCATCCAGATTCATGCGCGGGGCTGGTATTTTGATTGTAGCAGCGTTCTAACTTCCTGTTTCGACTTTCCTAATTTGGAGGTCAATCCAACTAAATTCAGGTAAAGTGTGACCGACCCAGAATTTCGAGCCCGCGGTGAGTCAAGCCAGGCTTGAGACACTATTGTGACCGTAGCCTGTGAGTCTGTTAGAAGCCTCCAGCTTGCCCCTGCTGCCAAGTGCCACCAGATTAGACATAAATCATATTACAAAATGTAGGCCTACTAAAACTCTAAACTTTTTACTAAAAAGTAAGGCCATACTTGTTTAACAAATGGGTCATGACAGCATGGAGTAATGGCTACAGTGAATGCCACGGTCATTAACAAATTAGATGTAGTTAGACTTCCCAAGGTTAAGGTCAAGTGATTGGAAGGAAAGCTTACTGTATTACAGATATCTAGCATAGCAGTGTTGATGTATCATTTCTGCCATGCAGCCCTTATATATCCCAATTTGAATCAGGTGAAAATATGTTTATTATTAGTCAATGGATTACCTGATTGAAAACTATGTGATCAACATGCAAACATCTGAAATTAATTGTGGTGGGATAAGAATAGTGTACTGGTGTCTTAACTACAGCTGTGGTCTAATTAATTGCCAATGCCTTCATGCTTGCCAATCTCAATAGAATTTTCAATTGTCACTTTACTCCAGTCAAGTGGTTAATGAATAATTTAACTTCATTATTTATTAATGTAAAGATGTGTTGTGTGCCGTGTATTGGGAGTTGCAATTCAATCGAAGTTTGATAACTTTTGAGCACTCCCAAATATAACAAGATTGCCAGAAAATCTTTGATGATTTTGATGAACTGTTCCAATTCCTAATTGTAAATTACCTTATTTTAATTTTTTTTTTTTATTCATTTTTTGAGATTTTGAAGATGTTCTTATTTTTGGAATGATGGTAACTTCACCTTATTTTATCATCGAGTAACTTTCATAAATTTTTAATCGGTACTTTATAAATTTCTGTTACCGTAAATCCTTGAATTGAAGCCCAATGAGCTTAATCTGGAGAAGAAGCCTATCTTGAATTGAAGCCCAGGGTTTCATTTCAAAATAGCATAGGCTTCTTTTCGAGATAGTACAGTACATATACTGTACATGGATTTAAAAAAACAAAATAAATTGAAAACAAGCTTGGTTTATACAGTAGTTATGGTGATTTAATGCCAGTTGAATACACTCCATGATACAGATTAATGTTACAGTGGCCTTATTATTGATTCATAGTACAAATTCGCAAAATTTACATCATTCATTTTGAAAAGAAGCTCTCTTTACTTTGCAAAAGTAACCCCAAAAAGAAGCCCATCGCGAAAAGCAGCCCATCCAAAGTTCGCCAAAAAAGAAGCCTATGGCTTCAGTTCAAGGTTTTACGGTATATCATTTGCGGCTCTCCTTCTAAGATTAGATATGAATTGAATAATGTAATTTAAGCATTAAAACGTTATCTGTGAATATAATGTACATATGTAAAGCCAAACTATCAAATTTTCTTTGACAAAAACTGTTGTATGCCCATAGTCATGATGTGCCTATATATGGTCATGATACAGGCCCGTAGGCAGGATTTTCGATGGGGAGGTGCGTTTTGCAACCGAAGTGGACCACACAATGGGCGACTGCCTAGGAATCCCCGTGAGGTGGTGGGGGGATTTTTTCTAGAAGCTCTGACAAATTAGCATTTTGAGGGCCTTTTTTAATGGATTTCTAAAATCCATAATTTGTAATATCCTATTTAAATTTCCATTCATTTGAGTATTGTCTAGGGACTTACAGTAAAGCAGGAGAAATAGAGGGTGGGGTGCAGGGAGAAACTTGCACAGACCGAAAGGTCAATACCACCTCAGCCCCACCATGAACATTTATGATTATGGTACCTCAACTTTAATTATGATTTTTCTTTTTCTCTCCATTTCTTTTATAATTTTGGGGGCTAAGAGGCCTGGAGGGGGTTTGTGAAAAAAAGCATTTTGAGGGTCATACATAATAAATTTCTCAAACACATAATTCATGAATATTTCATTAAAATTTTCATTAATTTGGGTGTTTTTGGGACCTGAAAAAAGTAACGTTATTATGTCCTGTACATCTGCAGGCCGATAGATAACATTCTTCATATTATATAGATCAATCTGCAATCACCGGAGACGATCAATTTCTAACAAATTTCATACCACATTATTAACAATCAACGGTTAGATAAGCTGGCAAATATATAATGCAATGCATGCTAAAGCATTTTGTGCTAATTAGGAATGATTTTGTGAAATCATAGGTTTTAAACGGTGGACCTTTTGGAATTGGAGGTGGGGTGCATCTGCACCCTCTGCACCCCCCCCCCCCACCTATGGGCCTGTGATATGACCATATTTAGTCATGCCACATCTTTTTGTCAAATACAATTTGGTAGTGTAGACAGGGCATTACTAGAGGCACCACTTTAACCTTTTGTATTGTAAATTTAAAATGCTGGCAATATACTTTAGCAGCATTTGTTTATCTGATATCTGAGAACCACTTTTCTTGCAATGGCATGTGCATATCTTTATGAGTGATGAGGTTTTGTGATAAGTCTATTTTATATCTGCAGGTGTTATTGCTAGGCATCCGTCTTTTGTGCCTTATCTACGGGAAGCTCTCACGGAAGAAGCAATACGGAACTACTTCCGCCACATACTTGAGCCTGGAATAGACAAGCAAATTCAAAGGTTAGATGTGCCATGTATGAAGGCTAAAATAATTATTTGTAACAATCACTAACTCTGAACAAATGTGTATGAGAAAGAACTGCATTGTATATTATTAGAGAATGATGTAGAATAAATTATTTAACCTTGTCATTATTCTAAGTTCTTGGAGTAATCACTGTGATGATAAATTTGTCCAACAGTCAGACATACATACAACATAATATATTTCTCTTTCTGCTGAATAATATCTTGTGTCTGGTATCACATATGGATGCCTCAAGATAAAATAATTTATGAACAGCCACCAAGAAAAAAGAAGGTTTGGGATGGATGGGAGAAGATACTGTATGTACATGATTAAAGAACAAATATTTCTTTTGTTTTAATTTTCTCTAGGTTTGAACTTCCAGGCATTCAGGCTTTCAATTTCCTGCTGAAGGGCGCCCTCGGAGGGGGTGGAGTAGCTTCATTACGGAGTGATCCACAGGTCAGTTTACTTTTGGGGGATTTTTCTTGATCAATTGTAGGGCCTTAATATTTGAAAAATGTTGGGTATTCTCAACATATATTTCAAATAAAAATTTTCAAAAACAATATAAAAAATAACTATGTAAATAACCATAGTTAAGTTTTGTTCACCAGGCAAGCACCAAAAATGTAGTATGAGGATACACCCTTGAGATTGATCAAGGATTTAAACTGGGCTATTACAAAATATGGCTTGCACTATGTTGATGAGCTGTAAGGTTGTTGACACTATATTTCGGCCTTCGGTACATGTAGGCTACAGCCCTTGGATTTCCATTGCCATTTTTGTTTTAACACTTGGTTTCTGTGGCACCCGGGGCACTACGCAGATAATTGATTAAAATATCGGTAATTTGATTATTCTTATCAGGTTAATTCATGAACTGCTATGTCAAAGGTTATTTTTTTATTTTTATATCTTTCAACAAGGGAAAATTATACACATTAATGCAAATATTTAAAAACAAATTCACATCCATTCTCTTATATATTTTTCAGGCAGTGGCATAACACGTATGAACTCTCACTGACTAAGCATATTGTGTATATTTTATTTTTATTTTATTTCAAACATCATCCAACTGCTAAAGTAAAGCCAATTACAGGATGTCTTGAATACATATAAAAGATATAAAAAAATACTATAAGTGTATAATTAATTACAGAATAAACATTATTAGATTGAAAATCTTTAAGATATATTGCATGTATACATATTACAAAAAAAGACGGAGAAAACACGGTATTGATTATTAAAAAAAAAAACAAGGAAAAATCTGTACAAGGATTTGAAGTTATTGACACAATTGTATCTGTCTCTTATACACATCTAGATGTGTATAAGAGACAGGGACCACACAATGGGCGAATAAGAACAAGAACAATAACAACAAAACTTTTTTACAAAAAATACACATTACATTGAAAAATATTCAAATTGATCAATACTATGAAGAAAAACAGTCTCTCTTTTTAAAACAATTCTGGAGGACTTTATGTTTTATTTATATATGAACAAACAGAATATAAAATATAACGGTTGGAAATAGGCATTTGAGGAGAAACATTAATTAAAAACTCTCAATAATAGGCATCCTTATTGAATCATCATTATCCGAAGTTTACAATTAACAAACTGAATCTGATATAGTTATGTTTAAATACATCTTTGTCTCTGTACTTCAGGTGTTATTGGATCATGGAGGATGATTGGATTGTTAATCATCTTGGCACCTTTTAAAGGAAATGTAAAACAAGAATCAGTGTTCTTGTCGCCTATTTAATGCTACTAATCACCAAGGCCGTCTTAGTTAAATTATTTCAATATTTTGTTGTTGGTGTCATTAGGAGGTTCTAGGAATCCAATAATGAAGTTTGATTGGAATGATATTTGAGTAGTCATCCAATTGGTATGGCCTTGTTTAGATAATGATAGAATGAGGTTGTTATGACAATCATCAACATCGTATTTGTGTCACTGTTGTCATCATCATAATAATTTATGTTCATTATCAAAATTATCAAATCAACTTATCATCATCACTTTCATTATTATCATCGAAATGTTATTCTCATCATTATCTTCATCAAAAAAATTTTCTTCATTTAATTAATTTTATTACAATTATTGTCATCATTATCATCATCATCAAATTATTGTCATCATCATTATAATCAGATATGTATAAGTTCCATAATTTTATCATTTACATGATAAACTATTATGATTATTAAATTATCAAAATATTATCATCATCATCCAACATAGCCTAACAAACAAGTACCTAGTACCGTTTGAACTCCATTTCCAATATAAAGTTTTTTTGTGTCAGGTTTGGTCTGAATGCGCTCATTGGTTGCGATTGGGAGTAATAAGTTTACCACCGACGACATCGCAACCAATCGCAACTGAGTGTTGCATAGGGTATTACAGTATGTGCATACACCTCTTTATTGAGCAGTAATAATATTTGTTTATTTATTTTTGTGATAATTAATGAGACTAAATTATTATGCAATACCTTCAGCTGACGAAACCATTCCCACTCCCTGCAAGCACTAGACGACGCCACACTATCTGCTGGTTCTCAGTGGCAGTCTGAAAGTATCGTCTTAAAAAACGATCCGTTGCACATACGTCATTACATCCTGGATTCAAGTGCTGATGGGGGAAATACTTTATTTTCCCAACAGTTTCTATTTTTATATGTTACTGATGGAAGACTTTCTCCTTACCAATGTTTAAACCCAGGCTCCGGAGGAAAAATATGGTTTAATATGTATGCCCCTTTTCCCCCAGTTTTTAAATATTCAAAGTTCAGTATCTCATACAGTTTTGTCAATTACCCTTTTTGTGTCTAGAAAAATCAGTTCTATAACATATCAAAAATTGTTTTTCCATCAGTCTTTCTGTATTATTATGTTTCGTAGCTAATTGATATTTGCCTCATTTTGTTGATAGTTTATTAGCATGTCATTAATATTTTCATCATCATGTTAATAATAGTTAATTGGAAATTCTCTTTTCTTTTCTTTTTTGTAATATAATGGTAGGGTAAAGCACTTGGACAGATGTTGTTGGATTTTCAACTTGATGGCTTGCCAGATCTACTATCTAGACTAAAATGAGATGTATTTCCTCAGATTTATCACTGCTTAACGGAAAGATTAATACTAATCCTGAAAAATGTTTGTTTATCATGAAGAAATATTTAAGACAACAAATATTGTTTATTAAGAAGATTTATATTCTTTTATTTATTTTATTTTATTTTGCATTTGTTTAAGTGTTCATCCATTTTTAAGTTAGTACAAAACACTCCTTTTCTGTGACCTCTCCTTCATCTACCCCCCCACCACAAACAAAAGAGTACATAATAAATAATGATTATTTTTATTTTGAGATCACTAAAGAATACATACATTATTATTAACGCTCCGCCCTCCCCACCTCCCAGTATATGTTTTACACTCTTGTTAAAATGATGACAAAATGGATAACTCTTAAGTGTTTCTTGCGTAATTTATATATAATCAGATTAGAATTGCCTGTCAATATGTAGGAGAGGTCGTCCGTTTGTGGTTTGGGCTGTCTGTCTTGGGTTTCAATCCACGCTGTCAAATTCACTTCTGTCTTGTCAATCCACTTCATGTATTTATCTTGTTCCGCTTACGAGTGTAAGTAATATTTAAGAATGTCCAAGGAAAATCAATTAAAAAATTTAGCTTAATTTACTAAACTTTCAAGGTTCAAGATTACAAATTAACCAAATTTGAGATGAGATAACTTCATTCGAGGTTAATATTGTCAAATTTTGGCAACTAGTTTCCGCTTGTCTAGGTGAAGAATTTTACAATTTGGAAAATCTACTTATAAAATATACCATTTGGATATTATGAATCAAGAATTAGTGCTTTGACTATACCGTACTGTATGTATGTTTGTTATGACTACAGTAAGCATAAATTAGGTTGTCAATGGTTAAGGACTTCTTCCATTAAGCTTGTGTGCTCATTCCAATTTATCACTATGTTTTCAACCAACATGTAAATTTAATTTGTTTATTATTAAAAGACAATTCTACCTCATCTATTTAATTGTATCTAAAAAGAATTTAAATAATCAAAAATAAATAAATACTCAACCTTTCATATTGATCTTAACTTAACAACAATAAATCAAAAATTGGAATAGCTAGTGCATATTATTGAGAGTAGGAAGTTCAAGCCGCCACACCCACCTCCGCCCCACCATGGTTGGTGTAAATAAGTAGTAAACAATTGAGCTCTCCTTTCTCCCACTGCTGGATCGCCACTGAACTCATAAGTTCATTCACTTTTCCCCCTTTCCTCTTTTTAACCCAAATTTTTATCCCTCTTTTTTATTTTTCGGTTTGACCGACGAGGGGCACGGGCCCTCATGGGCCCCTTATACACATCTAGATGTGTATAAGAGACAGGCATACACCTCTTGTTTAAATACTGAAACTAAACAAAAATATGTGAATATATAATTCAAAATCCGGTCAAATAGGAACCTTTGTTAAAATTATGAAAATGTGCATATTCTCCAAAGGTTTAGGCCTATTTGCCGTACTGGAATTCTGAAGCCCTTTTCTTTTTTAGGCCCCTACTGATGGGCATCTTTTTGAGAATGGATTCTTTTTCGAGATTACTTGTGCAAATTGGAAGGTGGGGGGAGGGGGATTCTTTTCAAAATAAATGTTGTTAATGGGAATTGCTACAATAAAAGATTTTAAGAACTACTGAAGACATTTTCCAACCAATCTTCAATTAGACCTTTAAACCAGGAGTTGTTATCATGCCGACGACGATAGTTGGAAAACTAAATATATACATATAAATTATATATTATAAAAATCAAGCTAAAGAGTAGGAATCTTTTCGATGGGCTTCTTTTTGAGATTAAGCCCATTCGGTTTGTTTCGGTATACTATAGAAGAGGGAGGAATTGAATGATTGGGCGTTATAAACAAGGCGTTATAGAATAGTAGAATAAAGTTAATTTTAGATTTTAACTCTGACTTGTCGTTCGAATATTTCCTCCCGTAATTCCCTCTCAAATTACAATTATATGGCGAGCAAAATGGCAAACTGGTACTCTTAGTCTTACCAGTATACCTCTATATTACTTTGTGGCTCAGTGTTAATAATAGATGACTATATACCACTAGATTCACAAAACGAATTGTTCCAATGTAGATCTATACGATTTTTGTCATTGTATATCAACAAACTGGTAATCTGAACCGTGCATTGCTCATTACAGTATTATTGGACAGTATTTCGTTCCCATTCCAATTGATAATGTACATAATTAACGAGAAAAATCGCCGTCTGGTATCAGCAAAATATAGAACTTTACGATTGACTTTATGACGGCAAAAATATATATGCAGCTTATATGGAATGAATTTACACTCGTGCCGATGTTTTGAAACCGAGAAGTTTAAAAACAGCTACACGGAAAGGTTTATTAAAAGAAATGTAAATAATTGGATTGATCATTGAATTAATATAACCAAACCACGTGATAATCAGCCACACGGTTCGATTAATACAATAATTGCAGAAGGGATCAATAATGTTCAATATAAAAAACGGCAACCATAGAAGAATAAAGCAACCCATAATAATCAATATTGTCTGTGTAGCTTTTTTCTCCGAGCGACTCAATTGAACAATAATTCTATATTTTGTGCATTCGGTGCACGTTGAGGGGAAACTTTCCATCCGATACATCTCCTTTGCCTGCCTTAGTGCCGCTTTGTACACGTGCAAATAGGCTAACGCCATTAAGATACTTGGCAGGTAGAATGCGACTATAGAACCGACCACTGCATATGTTTTATTCACCATAAAAATGCAGTTTTCTGGCCCAAGTTCTAAAACAATTTCGCCAATTTCATCTGCAATACCAATAGTGTGCCAACCTAACTGAAGTGGTATGATTGCCAGAGCTGCTGGAATAATCCAACAGCAGATGATGGTAACACAATGCTGGCGCCTTTTTTGAACCCATTTGCCATATTTTAGTGGTCTGCATATGACCATGTAGCGATCCAGAGCAATATAACACAGATGAAATATACTTGTGGAGCAAAATGACACGTCCACTGAAGTCCAAATGCGACACATGGCATTTCCCAAGATCCATCTTTCATTGATAATATCAAGTGCTGACAAAGACATTACAAGAATCCCAACACATATGTCAGCGACACTCAACGACATAAGAATGAAGTTTGTTAAAGTTCGAAGATGTTCATTGAGGAGCAATACCAGACATATTAAGCTATTTCCAAGTAATGTCAGTAAGATTATCACTGTTAAACAGATGGCAATAAACACGTTTGCTATGTTCGACGAAATGCTACCGTCATCAGTCGATATCGTAGTATTCATTGTTAAAGAAATATCAATTTCTTGTTGCAATGTCGGTGACATTAGTGTTACTGTTATTTCAATGAAACATAAAGAAAGCCATTATTAGCAATAAAAACATTGTAGCGCCAAAATTATTTAAATTATCAAGAAACACGATTTCTTTTGAATAAGCAACATTGACAAACCACTACGATACGTTCTCGTCTTTCCAATTACTTCACGGCGAGAAGCCAATTTTAAGTGACACCTGACGTCATTAAACCCTGACGATATCGCTTACGTAGTTTTCATCCATAAGAGCGTATCTTTTTTTAATTATATCGGTAAAGAATAAGTTCATTGACAATTACTCTGCGTCGTATCATGGAGCAATAAAGAATCGGCCTTGGTTATTCATCAATATCTAGGGACCTGCAGAGCCTAGACGCCGGTAAAGACCGGGTCCAGCTAAGCCTTTTTCCTACTACCAGAGGCAAGTAAATTGGCGTGGATTACGTATTATAGTAAATACACATGATCGCCTTCAAGGAAGGTCCTTTTTCATTCTGTAATATAAAAAATAATAATAATAATAATAATAACTATTGAATCGGTGTTTAGCATCATAAGCATTCACCATTCCCATCTCCATCCTTGTTATTAGTATTAATGCACTGGTCCTATTAGTTGTTTATATCATTATCTTTATCACCCTTATTCGAATAATAATTATTACAAATTATATAAATATTGTTATCACATTTGGTTTTTAGAATTAATATTCGATCCATTATTATTGTTAATATCGTCGTCGTCGTCGCGCCGTTATCATTATCATCACCATTACACTATTATTATTATTATTATTATTATTATTATTATTATTATTATTATTATTATTATTATTATTATTATTTAACATTTATTTATAATAATATTGTTACAATTACTATTACTAGTCGTTTATTATTATTATTTTTTTTAATATTCAAAAAAATGAACTTAGACATTTTTTTGTTACGTTTAATTAACCATGGATTACAGCTGCAGTACGGACGCAAGTTTGCAGTATGAGGAAATAAATAGATCCACAAGTCGCGTGTCCATTCTTGTCAATCATTACCCGGTAATAGAATTCATGGTCACTCACAGTTCACAGGCTCTATGGTCAGTGGTCAGTCTGTCAGTTAAACCAGGGAGTTGGTTAAACCATGGGGGTATGGTTATTAAACTGGTCTTATGTATATAATATGGTTTTCTTAATAAATTCACGGTTGTACAATTTAGTTAACGAGGAACACTATTGATTTTGATTATAAGATTGTCAGGGAATTAAATTTCTCGAGCACGTTAACAGAAAGACCTTGTTATTATCAGATTTAAAACACTCGTTCATTCACCCTATTGATTTCATAATCATTCATTTTCTAATACGTAAGCAATTTTACCATTATTAAGCCTGTCCGTAATCTCATATCAAATATTGTTCTTCTAAACTTCTAAGTGATTTACTTTTTTCCTAAAGCTTGAATATGCCTATAGGCCTAGTTTCCAAGTACATCAAGCCTAAATTAAGACCACTAGGCCAGTTAATACTGTAAATTATAGGAATATTTTTCAATGTTGTGATGGTTCAAGATGATATGGGGTATGTTCGTTAACATTATCCTTTGCAGAAAGTTCTGTCATGATCGATATAGGTAAGCCTATGTTGTAAAAAGTGTATTTGAATGTAATCTATAAATTGAAGGACGCGTCATCGCATGATATCCTATTTATGAATAGTCCTCATAGGCCCTATTCTTAAGAAAATTCTACAATGAAGATAGATGCCTATTGATTCCAGATTACCAGCTAAATTCCGCTAATTGCAGACCACCACTGAGGGATATCGTTAAAGGAGGGAGGCCTACTAAACACAACAGAGAACTTAATGTTTGTCGTTTACGTAAAAGAATAGAAAATTGTCAAAATTTAAAGAAAAACATAAAATGACACAGAAATGATAGAAACTTACCAAAAACGACATTGTCTGAATAGTTTTGGTATAGGCCTATCCACAGCTTGGCCGCATGAGTATCATTAACAATTGCCATTAGACGGGACAAGTTACGGAGGATTTCTCCTTGCTTCTTGTTTAATCGGTTCTTCTAACCTTTTTGTATAATCAATCATCGAAAACGATTAAATTCTGCTGGTCATTACGTCACATTCCAATTAGAAACGATCACCAATCAGCACGCTGTTCGTGGGGCAGATTCAATTTGCCGAACTATTGGAACCATCGAACAATCGTTCTTTTTATTTATTGGTGGTCGCATAGACTTCGTGTTGCACAATATTTCTTTCGTAAGCGGATCCAGAGAAAGTTCTGGGTAGGGGGAATTCGAAGTGCAAAGCAATGAGTTGGAGGTGGGTCGAGGGGATGCTGGCAATTGTTTGAGACATCTGTTTAGATATGCTTGACACTGGTAAATGGAATAAATCGAAAATTATTCTTCTATCTTTTCCCCCCTTTTTTAGAAGGAGGGTGGGGAAGGGGAGACGGGCCCCACGCGCCCCGCCCCTGTAGCATCCGCTACAACATCAGTGGGAAAAGGGCCTGGAAGATCCCTTCATGAAATATTTTTGAAAAAATATGTGTATTAAAGCACATTACAACGGCGTGAAGTCTAAAGAAAGAGTACCAAATAAATAAAACATGTTTAGGGCCTAAGAAGAAGGCTTACAAATTAAAACAAGCTATGCCATACGAATTCGGTGCATAAGGTACTTCATTTTAAAAGAATTAAAATACTGTTCAAAGTAGTTGCATGGTTTAAAGAAGCGAAAACACTGTTTGGCTGTCATTATCTTAAGACTTAATTCCGAACCAACTTTTCGTAGCTTTTATCTTTCATAGGCCTAATGTTCTTTCTCTCACCAATGCAAAAACAAACAAGAAATCACAATTGAATCGTTCGTGAGCAGTAGGCCTATGTACAGGAATTGAATATCCAAATTTTGAATATTTCTTTTAATTACCTACCGTAGACCCAATGACAATTCTTTTTGTTTAAAGTCTAAATTAACGTTAACACCATTATGATTGATATCGCGAGGGCACTACTGACAATCGTACTGTACTCTGTACAACAAAACTTTAGAAAAGTTTTATGATGACAACCAATAGAGGGCGAAATGTTTAGCGCGGGAGTTGTTCCGATTCAAGCGAATGATGAAGATGTATTTTGGCTCTTTCGTAAGCTAACTACTTTCGTGTGGCTTAACTAAAGCATATCTTCGGTAGGCCTATGGATATTTGTGATTCCCTAGTAGTAGTAGAATTACTAAGCTAGGCTGGTCCGATTATTATAAGAGACAATTGTTATCATCGGTCGGGCCTAGGCCTACCACCACCACTCTGGAGGGATTGGACTAGGCTAGGCCAGAGCCTAGTGAATTAAGGCATGCTCTGTTAGTTAGGCCTAGGCCTAGCTACTAATTGCCAGCTCTAAACAGTCTTGCGGTAATGCTATAAATATATATAAATTTGTGTATATATATATATATATATATATATATATATATATAATAAAATAAAACTCGTAGAGATGGTAATAGATTTGCCTCAAAATTTATTAAGAAAATAGAAAGTATATATATATATATATATATATAAAATGAGTATGAATGCACAAAGTAGAGTCGTATACATTGACATAATAGACATAAGATAATTTTTTATTTCGAATATTTCGAGCACGTCTGTGCTCTTCCTCAGCAATGACACGTATGATTAAAAAAGCTTTACAAACTAGCAATAGGGGATAAACAATAACATTCTGTTCCAGCGACCTCCAGTTCTATATATATATATATATATATATATATATATACTTTTACTTTACTTTTAGGATATGGCCATCCATTGTTGGATGTAACCCTCCTATGATGATGTTTCCGTTATTGGTATTTCTTCATGTATATATATAGACTGTATAATGTATATTATAATGTATGGACACCTATTTTTTACATTTATATGTTGATCAGCGTAATCTTAACTGACAATCCATTTCGAATGTAATGAAATGCAATTCAGCTCGAGAAACAGATCCATCACACTCAGTGCTGATATTTTTGTGAATTTTATATATTTGTATATTTTTTTGAATAAAGAAATACCAGTTGATAATGAATGATAACAACACCTTTTTACACTTTTTTAGGCCTTTCAAGCATGAATTTATCAAACACAGAAGCATTTGCTTTAAATAAATGGCAAAGATGTTACTTCGATTTCAAATCAAGTGATGTAACTTGTGCTCAAAAAGCAAATGCCCTGAGAGGTATCTTGTCCCAGGTTAATGTTTCACATGCAGCTGGAAGGTAGTGTGGCTCTTTATAATTGTGTTTAACATTGTCATTAAAATGTTTTGTTTATCGATTTTCTTCTCAAATCAGAAATCATATCACAAATAAGTATAAAAGAAAAATTGAAATTGTAGGATCTGGGAGACTCTGATTTGATTAAGACTAGAAGTTGCAAGCATGAGGGCCATGTAGCAAATTAAGTACAGTAATTTATGAAAATTTGTAAAGAAAACAGAAGTATTTTAAACATTTTCCTTAAAATAAAAGAACAAAATCTCATTTTCATTTTTTTTATTTCCAAAAAAGTAATTAAAACTTTTCGCTTTTTGAATATCATTTTTATTGCAGAATTACATATACCGTTAAAACTGCTTAAAAGGAATACTTCCGTAACACCTCACTCTACTTCTTGACATCACTCTTGACAATCGTTCAACATCTTCTATGTTTCTTGTTTATACATCTTAGTCTTTCCTCCAGATGTGGCAGAGGCATGTTCATCTTTGTGCTTCTGATAGTGTTCCATTCCACTGCAGAGCTTATCTTAATATTGTCAGTGGTGGCAGCTTCAGTGTTTGTGGTAATAATTTTAAAATAAAATTGGCTTTTTTTTTTATAAGGGCCAGAGTTAAGTATTTCTAAGCCTGTCTTGCCACTTAATGCCAAAGGTTCTTTGTATGCATTTATTCATTATAATTGCTCATATACCTTATTGTTTTTCTTTCCAAATCCTATTCTAGTATACACTCTAAATTCTTAGGTTAGCTTGGACAGTCTCACCATTATGACACCTGTGAAGTAAATAGCCAATTGGCCTTTGATCAATCTGTGAAATGGTATGGTGGGGGGTAACTTTCTGTCTCAGTTAGTCCTTGATTTGCATTTTATTGGTCTTTGGTCTTTTAGTTAGACTAGGTTTGTTGTGTGCGACTTGAAGCCCTAAATTTCATACTAGCTGTGCTAGTCACTGGTAGCCAAATATTCTTGCAAATAATGGCTAATAATAATAATAATAATAATAATTTACTTTTTGTTGTTCTAGTATTTCAAGTAATGGTGCAGTGCTGCTGACAAAAAAATATGGAGGTCTGCTCTCAAGTTTAGTTGATTCACAAACTGAGCTGAATAACTATGCAGAGGGCGCACTAAGCCTCTGTTCTAATCATAGGAATGGTGAGCCTATGCATACTACAGTAGGAAGTTTTTTTATTATTGTATTACAACAATGTGACCTTAAGACTTGAAAAATCTACCGTTTTAAAATTTAATCCAAAGGTGTCTCAGACCTCAGAGAATGAGAATTCAATGCCTTCACATACTACGTAGAGTATCTACATGTGATGTTGATTCATAGTCCTACCATTCCCTCAAATTGAACGCTCCATAACATTTATTTCAGTAGATCTTCTCACTCTACCTGAGGCTGGATATGGTTGTTGGGAATAATTTGTATCTTTACTTGGTCAATATACCATATATAGTAATAAAATATGTTTGTTCATTTCATCTTACACTGAAATTTAATTGAATTTAATCCAATTGAATTATTAATAATTTTTTTTAATAAAAAAATTATCAATAATTTTTCATTACTGATTATATTTTATATGATTTGTTTCTCCAGAAAGTCAAGAATGGACAAGTTCTCTTACATCTGAAAGTTTACTCCAACATGAATGCATTCAGCAGATCCTAAGAGAAGCAGAGGTAAGCAAATGCTGTTTATTCCACTATAGTCCATTGTCAATCTTTCTTGTTTATTATTTAATTTGCGGTAAAAATTTTATTGAATTTAAGTAAATTCTAATTCATTTGTAGTTCAAGATTTGTGTTTGTTTTAGTTTGGAAACACAAGACTTTCAAATGCAAAGTTATAACATATAAACCACAAATATTCCATCAAGTTTTATACATTAATTTTTAGCAGCATAGTGAATTACATTAAAAATAGTTATAACTACTGTATACTGAACCACCAGCTCTATTCTATCAAGACACTCTCCCTGTGTGCTAAAATACCGTAAAACCTCAAATAGAAGCCCTGGGCTTTTTTTTTTTTGCAAACTTTTGATGGGCTTCTTTATGAGGCTACCTTTGCAAAGTAAAGAGGGGGGCTTCTTTTCAAAATCAATGCTGTAAATTTTTGAAATTATTACTATAAAACTACATCTGTATAAATCAAGCGCGTTTTCAAATTTTTCTGTTTCTTTGAAATTCATGTACAGTGTATGTACTGTACTATCTCAAGGCTACTTTTGCAAACTAAAGAGAGGGTATTTAATTCAAGATGGGCTTCTTCTTATGATTAGGCCTATTGGGCTTCTATTCGAGGCTTAGCCCATTGGTCTTCTATTCGAGGTTTTTTTTTGTGCCATGAATAACCCAACGTACTTTATTATTATTTATTAATTTATTTATATGACAAGCTCCTTGTTTAATTTCAAGTTTCTTTTTTGAAGGACTTCAAGGCAACTGCAAAAGAGGGATCCAATATCATTGTCACTAACAAACCAGAATGTGCTAGACCTCTAAATGTCCAGAAGAGTTATAATCCAGAAAATGTTAGATCATCATCAATGCAACATGATCCAGGCCTTCCAACTAGTAGCAATCAACCACGAGATGGATATAACAGGACAAAAACATTTAGTACTTATACTAACTCTAGCAACAACTCAATGTTCAACCCTGCATTATCAGTCTTTGGAAATCATCTTAAACCTGGACTGAAAGAAATGGAACAGTCCACTTTCAATTCAATGACTGGTGGAAATGGCAGGTCTAGTGTCAGCCAAAATAATCCGAATAGAACATTCTATGATTCATGTTCAGGGCCTAACAATCCTAATAAAAGGTTCTATGATTCAGGGTCTAAGAATCCTGTTTCAGATTTAGGACGACATAACCAATTTGGAAATAGGCTTTTTGGTAGTGAGATGCCACAACAGCAGTCTGGTAACAAGCGAAAAATACATGGTAATGATATTCTTTCGAAATACTTACTGCCGTCATCATCATCATTATCAAAATCTTAATCATCATTATGATAATAATAATAATTTTATTTAATAATTGTATTTTTGTACTATAAATATTACTAAAACTGGCAGTTATCATGTTTTCAAAAACTCTTTTCTTTTTCAATAATTGTTTAGATATGTATAGTCATCAAAATGCTCATGGCAGCAGAAAACCAAATACTGGAGGCTTTGAATATGATGATGCACCTCAAGCTAAGCAAGTTAACAACTTTGTTACAGCAAGGGACCAGTTGGTAAGGAAATATAATATTAATAGTAATTATAATAATAATGATGTTGATAATAATTATAATTATATTAATGATGATGATATAATAGTAAGTCCTTTTTGGTACAGTATTTATATATTTTTCCCATGTCTAAATGCCACAAAGTAATTTGCATTACAGTATTACACAAAGAAGACCTGTTTTGTTTTTTTCAGTCCATTAACAATCAGAAGAAAAACAGTGGAGGAAGAGGCAACAGTAGTGTAGGATCAACAGCTTCATATGGAGCCAGTCGAAAAGTGCTTGGAACTAACAGGTCAGAAAAATTTATGCTAATAATTTCCCTTGTCACTCAGTGTTGCTGTATATTTACTGTAAATTGGAAAATGCCAATATCATAAATTGACCAATGCATAGATAGCTCCTGGAGTCATTTAAAATACAACTTTTTTTTAAATTCTCTAGTCAACTGTTTAGCTATATTGTAGTGTACACATAACATTTAGTTGCATTTCTTAACGGTTGGAGGCACAAACATTTTTGTTTGATGATGACACATATCAGTACCCTGGGCAATTCTTTGCATCGGTGTAACCAGAATTAAGAAAGTAATTAAAAAATATATGGCAGGTTGATGAAAAATTGTAATTTGTGAGCACGTTTCATTGGTTTGTTTAGTAGTATAGGTCCTTCACTTCTTTAGTTTATTTTTTTAATGTATTCTACCTTGAGACATTGTTTATTGCCAAAGGTGCTATAAAACTAAAAAAGATTATTATCACGTTTGTTTTTAGGATCTTTTTTGTAAGAATGATATAGGATGTACTGATGTACTTCATTCAATCAACATTTATTCAATCAGTCAATGAAATGAAGTAATAACATAACATAAAGTACTGTACATGGATTGGTTAAGATTACTTCTAGAAGTTTGAACATGAACTTGTCTGGAGCTAACCCGTTACAAATACGATAATGAAAATAATTTTTACTTTATTTTATTCTCATAATCCAGATTTCTTTATTATTTACTTATCATCGTATCATCGTATCATGAAACTGAGATAAAATGTGAGTTTATAACATATATGAGAAGTAAGAAAAAGAAAGTGAATATTACTGTAATCTAAGGAAAAGAAATTTGGGATGATGATTTAATATTTTTTGTATTTATTTCAGACGTGGATTGCATAGTAAATTTGTTCCACCAATTATGAATAAGGAAGACACCAATCAGGAGAGAATGTAATTAAAGATAAATATTAGTGTTTGTATGTAGTTGTGGTTTCATTAAAAGCAACAATGAAATAAATATATATATATATATATATATATATATATATATATATATATATGAGAGAGAGAGTGAAAGAGGCTAATGTCGTGACATTTTTATTGCAATATATCTTATAACAATAGTGAATTCCAATATAAAACTAACAAACAAATTGCTTAATCAAGTGGAAATACTGCTACTGTACCATAAGAATTGTCTCTTTTTTAGGGGTACCAGCCAATTAACAAGTGGTTCTGCCGGTACTCATGACGATGAGCCTATTGATGAGCGTTTAAAGAATATAGATCCCAAAATGATTGAACTTGTAATGAATGAGGTAATTATAGGTTCCAAATTGTATTTTGTTTTTAATTTCACTTTTAAATAAATTATATACAGGGATGTAGTTATGGTAGGCGGGGACACCAAGCCTTAATGTTTTCCACCCAATCTAAAGCTAATGTCATGGCCTTCCACCCACCCTTATTAACCCACTTTTCCATCCTTAAAATCCACTTTTATTATTTGAGTTTACTAATGTTAACTCCCACCCACCCTTAAAATTTCTATAACTACCTTTAGTTTTTTTTACAGCTACAACCCTGTATATATGAAACACATGTACATTTTATAGATTACATCCATATTTTTTAGAAATACGCCTTTATTACATCCCCCCCCCCCAATCAATTAATTGACACTTATTATTCCTTAGGAAATAAATCATGTATTTTCATTTTATCAATCATAATTCGTACATGTTCAGGGGCGGATTTAGCCCTGTCTCTTATACACATCTAGATGTGTATAAGAGACAGGAGCTAACCCGTTACAAATACGATAATGAAAATAATTTTTACTTTATTTTATTCTCATAATCCAGATTTCTTTATTATTTACTTATCATCGTATCATCGTATCATGAAACTGAGATAAAATGTGAGTTTATAACATATATGAGAAGTCCCCCTTTTTGGACATCTCTGGATCCGCCCCTGATGTTAGGATCAATTCTACCTCCTCCCCCTCCCCTTTCCCAGCCTCCACCCACTTTAGTACAGTACTAAATTTACTAAAGTCCATAATATGTTGTGTTGTTTTGTTTTGTTTTTTTTTCTTTCAAAAAAACATTAAAAGTACCTAATATGTGCTTAATGTTAGTCAGTATTATTGCTCTCTATCCCACTCCCCAGAAGTAATGTTTTAATATATCCATTACCAAGTCAGCCACATAGTCTGTGTTATAAGATGATAGATCAATGCAGGGTTTGAATTTCCTCAAAATAGTCCATCAGCAAATAGTTGCTGTGGGCTATGGCTTTACTACAGCAATTTATTCTTCTACAACAACAAGCTTCGTAAATTTTTTAAGAATATGCCTATTCTATAAATGAAATTGTTAGGCCAGGAGACTTGACAGCAAAAAGCTAGCTGTCGAGCCTGCGATTTACAACAGCAGTGGAAGGCCCTTTCTACAGCAATTGCTGTTGGTTCTGTGTGGAAATTTGAACCCTTTCAATGTCAGCATATTTCCTTCCATCACTTCCACTTATTATAACATGTTAACACAAGTCTGTTACCAATTTCTTGTTGCTCCTCAGGTTATGGATCATGGCCCACCAATTCATTGGGATGATATAGCTGGACTAGAATTTGCTAAAGCAACTATTAAAGAAATAGTTGTGTGGCCTATGCTCAGACCGTAAGTACTACACTTTGTATGCCTTGGTTTTGTTTTTTTAAAAACATGTTTAAGATTTCATAGCCTAGGCAGTCTTGCATTTGAGCCCTCTTACAAGGAGAGCAGCAAGGATTTGAACCAGGAATCCAAGGATCCCTGTGGTTGAGTGCACACAATGACTAAAATGCCAGTTCAACTGAATATGTTCCTGTAAGGATATCAGTAATTCACGTTCCCTTGTTTTTTGGGTGTTTTTTTCAGGGATATTTTCCATGGTTTGAGAGGACCTCCAAAAGGATTGCTGTTGTTTGGTCCACCTGGTACAGGCAAGACACTCATAGGTTGGAGTAATAGATGTTTCCATTGTTTTAGCAGTTTTCCAAAGTATTTTTTAAATAAATTGACAAAAACTGTTTTATTAATGTTTGATTCAGATTAAAATTTGATATGAATTTATTTTAACCTGCCTTTATATAAAAAATAATAATGTTTTTAGATAGGAGATGAAAGAATACATAAATTTGATGAATCCTCAGATACTTGTATGGCTGGCTGACAACCCTTTCCTAAATGTTATTTACTTTTTATTACCTCCGCTCATGGGCGGATCCAGAGATGTCCAAAAGGGGGGGCCGAAAGTGGGGGCCGATCGAGACAACAATGTCCTAGGGGGTCCGGGGCATGCCCCCGTGAAATTTTTGTGTTCTAGACGCCGGAAAATAACATTTGAGGCGTTGTGGGCTATTATTTTTTTCTTTTCTTTTCTTTTTTTTTTTTTTTTTTCTTTTTTTACCGGCCCCCCCCCACCTAAATCCGCCCCTGCGGCAGAAGGAGCGTATGTATTCACCGCTGCGTATTGTTCCGTATTCACACAGGGCAGCTGTATGCACTCTATGGATTGACTGCTCTATTGGAATAATAATTCAATATTAATGAATAATAATTTACTATTTTCAATGTTTTCTACAAAAAACCAATACAGTAAATAATATCTTTCATACTTGAATAATGTTGTGAATATTTTTTTGTGCATTTCAGGCAAATGTATTGCTAACCAATCAGGGGCAACATTCTTTAGTATTAGTGCATCCTCCTTGACATCAAAATGGATAGGTGAGGGTGAAAAAATGGTGAGGGCGCTATTTGCTGTATCTAGATGCCATCAGCCGGCTGTAATCTTCATTGATGAGATTGATTCGTTATTGTCGCAGAGGTCAGCAGATGAGCATGAATCGTCGAGGAGAATAAAAACGGAGTTTCTAGTTCAATTGGTAAACAATTAATATCAACATTTATTGATAAAATTTATAATGATTATTATATTTAATAATTTTTTTTATTCTTATGCTTATTCTTATTCTTTTATTACACAATAGAATAATCTTGATGGGAGGGCCTGGTCTCTAAAGTAAACTTAATTACTATAACAATTGTTTGAGAACCACTCCCATCCAGTATAAAAAAAAAAAAAACATCGTTAAAATGTATGATAAAATATAATAGACAACACATCACAACATAGCACTTATAAAGGATGAAGGTATACCAGTTGGCTCCTTCCAATTTAAATTGAAATCGCCAACGATGAATACACCATCAAACATGCATAACATAGGTTCGAGAGAAAACAAAAAGTCATCACTGAAACTGTTCCAATAAGATATAGGCATGCTAGAAGGGGCAGTAACAAGCAACGAAAAGAAGCTTGCTACGAATTCCGGTAATTGAGAAACATACGACCTCATAGGGTGCTGCAGAATTAATGTTCAGATGAACTCCCCCGCCTGTCTTCTTGCCGGTCTCTGTATTCCTGTCATTGCGAATAATCTGATAATCATCTGGTATTCCAAGTTGACATGTCAGATGCTCATTATTTAGCCATGTTTCAGTTATGATAAATACATCAGGGTCATGAAAAGCAAGATGAGACAATAACTGTTTAGACTTATTGCATATACTTCTTGCATTGAATGTCAAAGTGGAAATAATATTTCGATTTCGAGAAGGTGATTCAGATGACATTGTGGAATCAGATGCCTCATTATTAGTACCAGATAAATTAGAGAAGAATGAATCATTCAATCATTCAATAAGTAAAATTATATATATTATGCTTAGGATGGTGCTACAACAAATTCTGAAGACAGACTGTTGGTGGTTGGTGCTACAAACCGCCCTCATGAGATAGATGAAGCTGCTAGAAGACGTCTAGTTAAAAGGCTATATATTCCTCTACCAGATGCTCCTGCAAGAAAACAAATTGTTGTAAACCTATTGAGTAAACAAGCGTATGTTCTAAATGAGGAGGAACTGAATGATATACAGCGTAAAACAGAAGGTAATTTTATAGATTATTGTTTTTTGGTGGAGGTCATGTCTTACCGATATTCAGTGGCAGATTCAAGGAGGAGGGCCCAGCTCACCTGAGCCACCAGTAAAATTTTAAAAATAAAAAGAAAATGGAGAAAAAAATCATAATTACCGGTACATGTATATTTAAATTTAAGTCTGAGATTGCTATTTTTTTGCCATCTAAGGGTGCCATGATTATAATTTTTTTACCATGGTTGGAGCTGAAGTGATCTAGACACCACGTCTGTGAAGTCCCTCCTGGCCCTCACTATTTCAAATTCCTGGATCTGCCACTGATATTGTCCTCCATCTTAATCTAATGCAATCTACTACTGCCCCGTTTTTTTCATTTTGCTAAATGCTATCTATCCCATCTTTCTTGGTCGCATTTTCCTCCATCTGTTCACATTCACATATTGTAATCTGTAATCTTGAATTTTTTGTCTAATTTGTCTTAGCTTTGTTATATGCGCTATCTTTAATTAAAAATCCAATTAAATCATTTAATTAAAGCTCTTTTAAAATCAAATAAGTTATTGTTTATATGATTTAATTATCTAACCTAATGGGACCAGAGGTTTCACCCACTGTACATATACAGTAGTTAAAATATTGTTTGATTTTATTTATTCAATATGTTCTATGAAATACATGAAAACAAATAAACATAAACTGATCATATCACAAAAGAACATAATAGGGGTAACCCAAAAGACAATTACAGCTGAACTTGCCTAAGTCGAATCCAAAATGGCATTGAAAAATTGTTCGACTTTAAGTGAAAACACAACAATTTGGTAAGAAAAATAACATTGACTTAGAAATTATTTGAGTTAAGCAGAGTCGACGTAGGCAAGTTAAACTGTATTTCCGTAGGGTTCTTACTGACGAGAAATGAACACATAATTAAGCAAAATTGAAAAAATATATATATTTTTAATGAATAAAATTAAATAGGATAAGTTGGTCATGTTTTATTTTTAATTTCTTGAGGTTATTCTGGTGCTGATGTTGCCAACTTGTGTCGGGAGGCTGCTCTAGGACCTGTAAGGTGTATCAAAGATATTCAACAAGTCTCTGCAGACCAGGTAAAGACAACAGTATCTAATATGTGTTATACTGTTTTTCTTCTGCAATTATTAGAGTTCTTCTTTGGATGGTGTGTTAGTGATATAAAACGGTTGTACATTCTTTACAATTCACTGTCAATCTCTTGTTGTACTAATGGAGTTTTGTTGTATTACAGGTTCGTCCAATACTCTTTGAAGATTTCCAAGCGGCTCTAAAGACTGTTAGACCAAGTGTCTCCCAACAAGATCTTAAGATCTACTTAGAATGGAATAAACAGTATGGCAGTGGTTCTTGATTGAAACACTGGTAAACAAAGACTAAAAAGCAAGTGTCTTGACACTATAACTCTAATATCTACTTACACAACAGAATAGAAATATGGAATCATTTTAAGCAGAAGACAAACAAAAAGAAATCGTCCATTTATAATACTGTGAAGAAGGGAGGAGGAGCTCCTATGATTGAATTAAAGAAATTATATGTACAGTACCAGAAAGTCACTTTGTATTATGTCCAGTACAGTATTTGTGTATAGTCTTATATTATGTATATGAAATAGATATTATATACTAGTACTTCAAACATAGAAAATGTGACCTGAAAGTTATTATATATATATATATATATATACTGTATATATATATACTGTATATATATACTGTCTCTTATACACATCTTTTGAGCCTACAGGTACCTGCTAAATGGTAATAATTGATGGGGATTTGTAGTGCCAACTTGGTCTCTGCGCTGATGCTTCACAAAACAAAAACTGACACCACGAAACTCATAAAACTATAGAGGAACCATCACCATTGCATCGTTTTCTTGCAATAAGACCACTAACAAGCAGTGGTTTGCAAGATCATGACTCCCAGATGCTCAAATGATAATGGCATCTAGTTTAGAGCCATTTAGATTTAAAAGATTTCAAAAAAGACATTAAAACGAAGTAAAAATTTGAATTGCAAAAATTACAACAGACAATTATATCAGAACATCAAAAAGTATGAAAGTAAATTCAAATAAAATGTTTAAGCTACAATGACACAAGAAAGTGCAAGGGACCCTAAAAAAGGACATAAACGACATAAGCAAACACGGAAAGACATCCGGGAAAGGAAAAAACACACATGGGGGGTTTCGCCAAGTGTTGCTATAAGAGAGAG